AAGGAGGGTGGCTCTAGGTCCAGAAGGAAGTGGTGGTGGGGAGAGCAGGAGCCTGCAGCAGTTCTTCAGGCTCCTGCTGCATCCTGTCCCAGCTTCAGCGGCAGCCAGGGAGGTCCTGGTGGTTCGCAGGGTCAAGGTGGAATACAAACTTGTCCACTGGGGACCTTTGCCTCCACCCTTACCTAGGGTGTCCCGCCACTTGTTGTCAGGGTGGGACGTGAGAACAGGATGATAGACCATGTGGAGCATGAGCATGTAGAGCTGGTGGTGGTGGGTGAATTGAAAGCAGACGGGCTTGGTATTCCCCAGCCTACTAAGATAGTGGGGCAGAGAGCAATGTGGGGCCTGCTGAGGCAGGTGCCCCACAACAAGCTCTGTAGGGCTGGGGGATACTAGTGGATGGGGACTGCCCTCACGCATGATCTGGTCTATGTAGGCAAAGTAGTGTCCATTAGGGCAGGCTTGACTTCTTGGAGTAGGTGGCAGAGTACACATAACATTGGCAGCTCCATGGGTGAGACCAGTGCATCAAGATCTGCCCAGCCTGCCTGGCATAGTCCTGGAGGTCCCTGATATGGGTGGTGTCAGCCAGGACTATCCTCCAGGGAACCCTGTCGCTGGCACCACCAGCTGCGGGTTCTTCAGCAGAGGCTCAGCAAGTAGGTCAGTATCCTGGGTGACCATCCCTGGGGACCTGGAGGTAGAGACCAGCCTCCAGCCCCTGAGGAGGTCCTGGTAGAAACCTGAAAGCTCTTCTAGATCCTGCTTGGGGAGCCCTCGCAGATAGAAGAGCTGCCAGTCATATCAGATCCCTTGGAGACAGCGGAGGAAGGCATGCCCCAAGTGGCTCTGTGCTGCATTGCTGCTGGCACCATAGAGGAGCCTCTGCAGGGCCTGAAAGCAGAAGGGGTGGATTTGGCTTCAGAGGCAGACCAGGCGCTGCCCACCCTCCCACAAGGGGAGTCTCAGGACCCCTGCAAAGACCCAGTGCTGTCTTGGCCAGAAGAACCTCAGCGCCCATCTCTGGAGCTTGGCCAGGAGCTCCAGGAGCATGGGCAGGGTGTTGAAATGGTTCCAGAGCATGGACAAGACCAGCTGGTTAATAACCAGCACACTTCCATGAAGGGAGAGACACTGCAGCAGGTCTGCAGCCACTTAAACACCCTGACTACTAGCTGTTGCTAGTTCTCCAGCAGGGAGGGTTCCCTGTGGGGTAGGTGGACCCCAAGAAGACCAGCTAGCCTGTGCCCCAGCAGATGCCTTGGAGCATGGGTGGAAGTGAGCCGACCTACCACTCATCACCCACCACTAGGTCAGAGGTCTTGGCACAATTGACCAGGGCAGAGGAGGCCACCAAGTAGATGGACTGGCAGGCCTCCCCACCTGTGCCAGGTCACCCAGGTCCTGGATGGTGAGGAGCACGTTGTCAATGTACTGTGACAGGACCAGCCCCATGGCTGGCTCTCAGAGCACCAGTCCCACCATCCTCTTGAGCACAAGGCAAAGAAAGAACTGGAGAGTGACGGTGTAAAGCTGGCCTGACAGTGGACAGCCTTGATGTACTCCCTGCCTGAACAGGATAGGCTCCATCAGGGTCCAGTTGAGCTAGACCATACACTCTGTGGAGGCATACAGCACCTGGAGAAACTGCACAAGGCAGGGACCAAAGCCAAACACCCTCAGCATGCCTATAAGGTGCCCTTTTTCCACCCTGTCAAATGCCTTCTCCTGATTGAGGGACAGAAAGACAAATGACAGGCCCTCTGACACACAAGATCCATGAGGTCATGGACCAGATACAGGTTATCAAAGGTGGTTCTCCCCAGCACTGTGTATGTCTGGGCAGGGTGGATCACATCCATTAGCATGGACTTCAGACACAGTGAGATGGCCTTCACCACAACCTTGTAGTCCGTGCAAAGGAAGGAGATGGGACGCCAGTTCCTCACATCACGGGGGTCCCCCTTCTTGGGAAGGAGGGTCCGAGCGGTCCTCCTGCATGACGGGGAGCTCCCTGTCCCCTTCGGACTCAGCTCAAACTGTGGCAAGATCTATGCCAAGGACATCCCAGAAGGCCCAGTAGAACTCCTCAGTCAGCTTGGTGATGCCCAAGGCTTTCTTAACAGGCATCAGGTGGAGGGCATCTGAGAGCCTGACCAGGGTGAGAGGAGCCTCCAGCCTATCCTGGTTGCCCATGCTGACCTGCGGTAGTCCTTCCCACAGGACCTGGCAGATGTCAGCATTAGTCAGATCGAGGGAGAAGTGCTCTCCATAGAAATCTCTCACCGTCGCTCGCATCTCTCCTGGATCTATGAGGGGGGTGCCATTGCTCTCCAAGAGGCTGGCAATGTACTTCTTGACACCCCTTCTCTTCTCCAAGGCATAGAAAAAGCAGGAACCACAGCCTATCTCCCAAAGGAGCTGGACACGTGAGCAGATGAATGTGCTGCGGACCCAGCAGTCATCCAGAGCACAAAGCTCCTCCTGCTTTTCCCGATACTCTCTGCAGAGAGGATGGGTTGCTTGGGTCGGTGGCCAGGCACCTTGCCAGCTCCAGCACCTCCCTCTCAAGCTGGTTCCTGGCTTCCTCCCTCTGCTGGAGGGTGGCTCTGGGTGCAGCTACAACAAAAGGGCTGGACATGCACCTTCCCCACATCCCACCATCTCTGAGCCTAGGGGAAGGCCAGCCACTGCTCGCTCCAGGATGGCAAGAACTCCTGGAAGGCTGCCACAATGTAAACACAATGTGATCAGTAAACATTATAAATTATACAGTTAAGCACTTAAGTCAGTGTTAAAGTTGCAAGTGTCACCTGAATTCCCTTTCCTCTATATACATTATAGTACTATATACATTATACAGTAAAAGCTCTGTTATCTGGCACGACTGGGGTATGGGGGGGTGCCGGTTATGTAAAAATTCTGCTTATCTGAGGCAGATAACGCAGGGGGAGGAGGGGGTGGCGGCTGCATGTGGAGCAGCGGCAGCACAGGGTGATGGGTGGCAGTGGCAGGAGCTGCCATGTGCAAGCCTCCCCCCTGCATCCGGCCAGCCGGAAATTCTGGTTAATAGAGTATTCCGGCTAGCAGAATGCCGGCTAACACAGCTTTTACTGTAATACAGGACCATTTACTGTTCCCTCAAACAGTACTGTTCCCTCCCTGTACTATATTTTTGCAACCCCTAATAAAAAACATACCACTCCCCTGTATCATAAGGTGTTTTGGTTGTTTTGGATATTGTTCCTTGTAGTTGTGTGTGAGCATTTGAAATGGTTTTGGGGATTCCTTTGTTTAAGGCAGGGGTAGACAAAATACAGCCCACAGGCTGGATCCAGCCCACCAACTGACTGGATGTGGCCAGCAGCTGCCCCCGCAGTGCTCCAGCTGGGGCAGAGTTACACCTGCTCCTGCCAGAGCAGGCTGCGGCATGCTCCCACCTGTTGGCCCAGGCCCCAACCAACGCACCCAGCTTCCAGCAGGTCTGTTCCCAGTGCTGCTCTGCTCTCCTTGCCTCCAGCAGGAGGCCCCTGACTGAAGCTTCCTCCTGCTTGCCCACCTGGAGTGGGGCAGGAGGAGGAGCTGGAGGCGAGGGGAGCAAAGCAGCACCCAGCTTGCTGCAGCTGGACTAGGAACTGCCCTGCTGGAAGCTGCACGTGTTGGCCAGGGCCCAGGCTGGCAGGGCTGTTCTGCTCCCCTCACCTCCAGCTGCAGCTTCTCCACATGCTTCTGCCCCTGCTGTGCCACTCTCAACTGGGGGAGCTTCAGCCGGACAGCTCCTGCCTCAGCACACGTAGCTCCAGCTCCAGGTCCTGCCTGCCTTCCACCCACCCAGCGCAATGAGCAGCCACCTGCAGGCTGGCAGATTGGGTGGAAGGAGCTGGAGCCGCCCAGCCGAAGCTTCTCCCCTGCCCAGCCAGCACAGCACAGCAGGCAGCTCCTGCTGGAGGTGAGGGGAGCAGAGCAGCACCCAGCTGGCTGCAGCCACACAGGTAACAACTCTGCCAGAAGCTGCGTGCTGGCCAGGGCCAGGCTGGTGGGCTGCCCCCCCCCGCCCCCCCAATCCCTCCTTACACACACCCCTCACACCCCCACAGGGCAGGCCGTGCAGGGAGCGAATCGGACTTGCACACCCATCCTACTCCCAAACCCTGCCCAGTCAAAGCCCCATAGGGAGTTTTGGTGAGTTGTTTGCGGGGTGGGAGGTTCTGACCTGGCCCACAGCAGCTTATTAAAACTCCCTATGTGGCCCTCTGGACCAAATAATTGCCCACCCCTGGGTTAAGGATTACCTGTGAATGCAGGGGCCTGTATTTAGGCCAAGGAGGCCCCTTCCAGTTCCATGTTCTTCTACACCTTCCGTTGTTCTGTCTTTCTCTTTCCTTTCAAATACAGCATCAGTGCTGCACTGTGGTAGCTTTATTGCCATTGCCACAGGGCAATGCTAGGGAAAG